GCTCAGTGCATTCTACAGCTGTAATCGGTGGGCTTGTCTCACTTTGCTTGCCAGAGAGCCGGGAAAAGCTCTTCGAGCTTTCATCCAATAATATGCGGCGATGGCGGCGAGTCGCTGCCAGAAGTCGAAAGTTATTGCAGTGCGATAGTCGCTTTTACTTGTATTAAGTTATTTGTTGTTTGATTTAAGAGTGTAGCACTTAGACAATGTCTGCCGCAACCAAAGGTAACTATGAATCCTTTAGGATATCAGTATACCCTAGAAGTCTACATAAGTGGTGATCTCGCCAAAGAGATCTGAACTTTGGACTCGTTGATGTCTTATCTGATGCTATTCCCCCCCGGCGACCAGCCGGTTGCACTTTGGACCTGTTGAATCGAAAACAAAAATCCGCTTTCGTTAGTGCTGAATTTGTTCTATCACGCTGCCTACGCACATTATATATGTTATACATGAGTATGTATGTATGTATCTTCTGCTTTATAAGGTATCTATATTGTGGCTGCCAAGCGTACGGCCTTCGGAACCTTCGGTGGATCCTTGAAGGGCATCAACCAGACCCAGTTGCAGACCACTGCGGCCAAGGCTGCTCTGGATGCTGCCGGTCTTAAGGGCGAGCAGGTGGACACCGTCATCGTGGGAAATGTGATTTCGGTAAGTTGGATTCAAGACTAAAGATCCTTAAGCAGGCAAGCCTAAGGCGTCGGAATGAAACAAAAATTAGTTGTTACTAAACTAATATGTAAATGTGATATAATACTTGAATTTCTGGTTATGTAAATAAAACGAATTCATATTACATTGTTATTATTACTTAATTGTATCTCATGACGCTAAAGTAGTGCATACAAATAAGTATTTATTGGTTTGTTGAAACTTATAAAGCATAAAAATCTCTCTCTTTCAACTCACAGTCCTCCTCCACGGATGGTATTTATGTGCCCCGTCATGTGGGTCTCAACTGCGGTGTGCCCATCGAGAAGCCCGCCCTTGGAATCAATCGGCTTTGCGGTTCCGGCTTCCAGTCGATCGTCAACGGAGCACAGGATATCCTGGTCGGTGGTGCCAAGGTGGCTCTTACCGGCGGTGTGGAGAACATGTCCCAGAGCCCATTCATTGCGCGTAACATCAGATTCGGAACCACCTTGGGTGCCAACTACAATCTCGAGGATGCTCTGTGGGCTGGCCTCACCGATACCTACTGCAAACTGCCCATGGCTCTGACCGCTGAGAACCTGGCCGACCAGTACAAGATCAGTAGGGAGCGTGTGGATGAGTTCTCTCTGCTCTCACAGACGAACTGGGAGAAGGGCCTGAAGGAGGGAGCGTTCAATGCCGAGATCACACCCATCAAACTTAAGGTCAAGGGGAAGGAAGTGGACTTTGTGGTGGACGAGCACCCTCGCCCCAAGACCACCATTGAGGGTCTGAACAAGTTGCCTTCGCTGTTTAAGAAGAACGGCGTTGTCACGGCCGGAACAGCATCCGGAATCTGTGATGGAGCCTCCGCAGTGATCGTGGCCTCGGAGGAGGCGCTTAAGGAGTACAACCTGAAGCCCCTGGCCCGCCTTGTGGCCTTCTCCTTTGTCGGAGTCAAGCCCGAGATCATGGGCATTGGCCCAGTACCCGCCATTCAGAATGTCCTCAAGGTTTCCGGCAAGAAACTGGAGGATATTGATCTGATTGAGATCAACGAAGCCTTTGCAGCCCAGACATTGGCCTGTGCCGATGCCCTGAAACTGGATCCCTCCAAACTGAATGTGAATGGCGGCGCCATTGCGTTGGGCCATCCTCTGGGAGCCAGTGGCTCTCGCATCACTGGTCATCTGGTGCATGAGTTGCAGTAAGTTTCCGAAGCCCCTTACAACCCGTCATAAACTGATATATATTTCTTCCCCTTGTTTCCAGGCGCAAGAAGCTGAAGTACGGCATTGGATCCGCCTGCATTGGTGGTGGTCAGGGCATTGCCCTTCTCCTCGAGGCTGTCTAATCCTACAACCAGCCCACTGTAATAGGTGCTCTGCATTTACACTTAAATTAGTGCTGAATATTCCGTTTTAAAACTAACCCGATAGCAATAAAGAAATTATTTTAACTTTACAATTTATTAAATCATCAGCGAATGGAAGTTGATCAGCTTTCTACAAGAAAGACAACAAGTTGGTGTTTATACTATAAAATTTCTATGCTCGCACTGCTGGTAACGCCAATGGGACGGGTTTGGCGGATGAATAAAAAGACCAGCCCGGTGTACCAGGAAATCTCTTGAAGGGCCTTACATTACGAGTACATGAACGTGGGATGACATGGCGGCACTTTCGCTCAGTTCGTCTGGGTGCTGGTGGAGAAGAGCGCCAGAGCACCACTGGCGATGCCCACGGAAAAGATGTAGTTGATGAACGGCGTCGAGTTCTTCAGGATGAAGAAGCTGATGAAAATAATAACGGCCAGGTAGATGGCGTTGTTGTAGAAGATGGAGAAGGTGGTGGCCTCGTAGTCGGCCACCTCGTTCTTCTTCCACAGGATGCGCTCGTCCTTTTCCTTGCGAGTGACCTTCTTGTCATCGCCCACCTGACGGTTGACCTCGCGGGTCACCGCCTCCTCACGTCTTCCGGCTATCTTGTGCTTCAGCTGGAACTTGATGTTCTTGTAGGCGGTGGCCATCAGATAAGTGCTAGCGGCCGTCACCAGGACGAACAGGATGGAGCTTGGCCACAGGTCCATGTTGTGGATGCGCCAGAAGAGCCCTGCAAGGAGCAGTCCCCATTCATTCACAAAGTGTCTCAAAACATACAACGTGTCACTTTACTCACAGATTGGAACGGCCGACACGATAAAGGCATTGCCGTAGAACAGCGCCGACGACTTGGTGCTGACGTTGCGGCTGAAGTCCTGCAGCAGCAGCTCCTCTTCCTTGGTGAAGCCAGAGGACTGAACTTTCTGTTGTTTGCCGGATCCCATTTTCGGTTGGATTTTCGTAGAGAAAGTAGCGAAGAGTGCGGTAAAGTGTACACGAATGCAAACGCAAGTCGGCTCGGACGAATTGTGACGTGTAAACGTCAAAAACCAGGGTTGCAAGCTGCAGTGCGGCTGTCAGTGGCAGTCGATTAGCGATGACAGCGCTGTGTCTATCGATATTTACGTGCGATTCAGCGTTTGTGGCGGCTGTGAGTATTTATTTGAATTTTATATGACGATATAAAATAGGAATTTGTATAAAGAAAAATAATAATGCTAAGATGCTTCACATTTACTACATTTAATGGTAATACCAGCACTTTTTCTTTTATGCCAACTAACAGTTTTCATTATGATTGAACATGGAATTCATTAGGTCGTGTCCATCCGCTGCTAAATGTATTATTAAAAAGTATTATTAAGTAGTATTAAAGTATTTTACAGTATTACAATAGCTTATTAATGGTAAAAATATCCCAAGAAGATACCATTCGCGGTAAGCCGATTGTATAAGAAGATCCCCCACTCTACGCCACTGACTACTCGACTATCGATAGCGCAACAGGTTCTTCGGCAGCTGAGTTTAATTGTTAAAACTACACTATTTAAGAATATACATATGTAAATCAAGAAACTGAATTGGTTTTAAAAGTTTATTTTGCTATACTTAAAATTAATCCAGATTTAAATTTGAGCTGGTTAAGGAGTGTAGGCACATAGAAAATTAGAAACCGGCATCCGTCCAAAGGTCACTCTCAGTTGTTTACGTCTTTCGTGCTTTTCAGATCAAAATGATGCGATCTAAAGTCCTGAGCTTGGTGGCCCGTGCTGGCTCCAACCGTACCATGTCCACTGCCACCAAGTTGACCACTGTGGAGGTCAACGACAAGACCGGCATCGCCACCCTCACGATGAACCGGCCACCCGTAAATGGTCTTAACTTGGAACTGCTGCAGGACCTGAAGAGCTCCATTGATGAAGTCGAGGGCAATAAAAGTCGCGGACTCATTTTGACTTCGGTAGGAAAGCTAGTAAATCACTGGACTATAATATATTAAATACATATTTCACCCGTAGTCTAGCTCAACAATATTCTCAGCTGGCTTGGATATTCTGGAGATGTACAAGCCGGATAAAGACAGGATCCGTGCTTTCTGGACGCAACTGCAGGATACTTGGCTGGCCCTTTATGGCAGCAGTGTTCCCACAGCGGCGGCCATCAATGTTAGTTCCTTGCAAGCGTGTAGGAAGCATTCATAGTAAAAGCGTTTCTCCTTATCCGTAGGGACACTCCCCCGCCGGTGGATGCTTGCTAGCCACTTCTTGCGAGTATCGGGTCATGGTGCCAAACTTTACCATCGGGCTAAACGAAACACAACTGGGTATTGTGGCGCCCAAGTGGTTCATGGCCTCTTTCCTGAGCGTCTTGCCACAACGGGAGGCGGAACGCGCCCTCAACCAGGGTCGCATGTTCACCACAGAGGAGGCCCTGAAGGTGGGCCTCATCGATGAGACTGCCAACAGCAAGGAGGAAGCAATTGAAAAGTGCGTCGCCTTCATTGGTACCTTTGCCAAGGTCAATCCTTTGGCTAGGTCACTGACCAAGCAGCAATTCCGAGCTGCCGATCTACAGCAACTGCAGAACGAACGAAAGGAAGATCTTGACAAATTCCTGTTCTTTGTTAACCAGCCAGCGGTACAGAAGGGTCTGGGCATTTATCTCGAGGGTCTGAAGAAGAAGGCCAAGAAACAGTAAACCAACGATTTTTAACATTTTTTATATAGTAATAAAGTTGTTTCAATCCAATTGATCACGAATTTATCTAGCATATATTTTTCTTATTCCACAAATACCAATTGATTGGTTTCTATTTAGTTTAACGGAAGTAAAAAAAAATTAGAAAACCTCCTAACTATAATATAATAACTGGTACACTATAATAACTGGTAACACACATTTAAGTATATTGTCGTGATTTTCGCGGCTTGTTCAATATAATTAATAATAGCTGCTTTTATTTTATTTAAAGTTAATTTATTTAAGTTAATATTCTGTTTAAATAGGCATTTAAAGTTGATTGTATTCGATAATTAAAAGGCGGCCGATAACAGTTGGCTGGAAATTTTCCATCGAAGATCAGTTGCACTAACTTACCAGCTGTGTAGATAAGAATTTAAAAAACTTTCGGTGAAATAATCCCAGAGGTATGTAAATAAATAAATATAAATATATTGCAGAATTGCATATAAATTTGAAAATATGTTAGATATCAATATAATAAAAGACCTCCCCTTGCAGGTTAAAAATTAACACTTGAGCAAAGAAGATAAGATGCTGCACTCAAATCTCTTAAGATTGGTGGCTCGCAGGCCTCCAAGTAGATTGATGTCCACCGCCACCAAGTTGACCACCGTAGAGGTCAACGATAAGACAGGAATCGCCACCCTCACCATGAACCGGCCTCCGGTGAATAGCCAAAATGTTCAATTGTTATTGGACCTGCAGAGTTCCATCAGCGAAATCGAGAACAACAAAAGTCGGGGTCTCATTTTAACTTCCGTGAGTTTTGTCATTTATATAACTATGCAAATAATACTTCAATTGCATATAGGCCAGCTCCAATGTGTTTTCAGCTGGCCTGGACATCTTCGAAATGTATAACACGGACGTGGAGCGACTCCGAACCGTTTGGACTGAATTGCAGAATGTGTGGATTGCCCTCTATGGAACCAGTTTGCCCACGGCAGCAGCCATTAATGTAAGTATCTTATCTGTTAGCGTGTATATAATTAAATGTGCTAATTCATAATCTTTCAGGGGCATGCCCCCGCTGGCGGTTGCCTTCTGGCCACTGCCTGCGAGTATCGAGTGATGAGGCCCAACTTCCTAATTGGATTAAACGAAGCCCAACTGGGGATCATTGCACCCAAGTGGCTGATGGCCGGATTCGCTGGTGTACTGCCCAAACGGTTGGCAGAGCGAGCTCTGACCCAAGGGCGCATGTTTACCACACAGGAGGCTTTTGAAGCTGGCCTGGTCGACGAGATCGCTAGCACCAAGGAAGAGGCCGTGGAGAAGTGTGCTGCCTTTATCGGCACCTTTGCTAAGGTCAATCCTTTGGCCCGTGGACTCACCAAGCTCCAATTTCGTGCCGACAACATAAGGGAGTTTGAGGAGATACGCGAAAAAGATGTTGCTGACTTTGCAGCTCTGGCCTCCAGTGCGGAAGTACAAAAGGTTATGGGGACCTATCTTGAAAACCTGAAGAACAAGGGCAAGAAGTAATAAGCCTGACAGAAAGTGGTTATTTTATTAAATCTAACTTTGAAATCCGTATTGTTGATTTCTCTAATTGCATTTAAACTGCAATTATTAAAATTGCAAAGACGTTGCGTGCAAAGTTATTTAATTTGGTAATTTAAAAAAATTGTTTATATGTAAACCTGAAAATAAATTTGATTTTAAGAAATTATTAATATTATTATATAATAATAATTGAATTGCCCTTATATAGTGACAATTAGTGTAGTTTCAAAATAAAGTCTTCCCAAAAATCTCAACATTTTTCGGTAAACACTTGTTGATCTCGATTTGCTGCTGCCGTGTAAACTTTAACTGGAAATGCCGACCAGCTGATCGTTTCGGCTTGAGTGTTTGTTTTATTTGGTTTGCAACTCAACTTAATATATGATAAACAGGTTAATTTGTTTAAGTTCCTGCCTGTCGCTCAGTGCGTGATTGCTGCTCCAGATCCAAAGTCGTCCAAATCATGTTGCGTAATAGGCTGATAGATGGAGTCAGGCGAATAAAACCCATACTAAGCTGGGGGCAATCCCTGCGATCCCTCAGCAATGGGGCGACCTCAAAGCTGACCACCATAGAGGTCGATGATAGGAGTGGGATCGCCACTCTGTCAATGAACCTGCCGCCGGTAAACACACTGACCATGGAGCTGATGCACGACCTCATCGATGCCATCAATCAGATCGAGAGCAATAAAAGCCGCGGTCTCATCCTGACTTCAGTGGGTTTGGGATTCCCAAAGTACACATTTTCGAAACCTATTTATATGTAAATATATGTAATTTGCAGAGCAATGACAAGGTCTTCTCCGCTGGCCTCGATCTGAAAGAGCTGCTGAACCCGGAGGTGGACCGATTGCGGTTATTCTGGACCCGGTTCCAGGATTTGTGGCTGGCCCTCCATCTTTGTGGCCTTCCCACAGCAGCGGCAATCAATGTACATAACTTAAATTATTTTTTGATCATATCATCATCTCAAACTACATATATCCCCCATTTCAGGGACACTCTCCTGCCGCTGGCTGTGTCCTAGCCACCGCCTGTGAGTATCGCGTCATGTTGCCCAATCTCTTCATCGGTATACATGCCACTCGGTTCAGCTTCGTCATCTCGAAGTGGATGATGAACTCGTACCAGAGCGTCTTACCCCGCAGAATTGTCGAGCGGGCGCTAAATCAAGGTAAGCTCTTCGCCACCCAGGAGGCCCTGGACGTGGGCCTCGTGGACGAGATTGCGTGTAGCAAGGAGGAAGCGCTCTCCAAGTGCGCAGCCTTCATTGCCACCTTTGACAAGGCCAACCCCGTGGCCAGGTGCCTAACCAAGCGAATGTGTCGGGAGCCCGATGTGCGGGAGCTGCTTCAGGATCGAGCTGGGGATCTGAAGGAGTGCGTCGACTATGTCACTGCTCCGCTGTTCCAGGAGGGACTCTGTGCACACTTGGAGGGTCTCAAGAAGAGAAAGTAGCGGCCTGTTATAGGAATGTGATCAAATTGCATTTATTGTGTATGTATGTAAATTTGTATTAAAATGTTAATCCGATGGGGCATCCTGGTGCAATTCACCTGGCAGATTATCAAAAGCCTCTCTCACCATTTCCGTGAAAGATTCAATCTCCAGAATCTTGGCGCGATGGCGATCAACCTCTTTGCTGTAGTGATATATTATTGGTTTAGCTCACCACATAAATATAGGAGGAGCGTACCTGTTAAGATTCATGATCATGTCATCTATAAATTGCCTGCTGCGTTGAGCCAGGCGATCCTCACGTTCATCCACTCGCGATGTGTGGGACGCCCTCATGCCCTCCACCAGCTGGAGGACCGCCTCTCGATCATCCACACACTGCCTTAGCTCTTCGGGAATGGCATTCAGTTCATTGCGCGTCAGCTTGGTGGACAGAAACTGGGTCACAATGTCTGTCATGTTGTCGGCAAAGTGGCTACAAAGATCGCGCAGCTGCTGGAAGATCACCTGGGCCTGCTCCACGAAGTTGGCCATAAGATCGGAGATCTTGCGGTTAAAGTTTAGGGTGGAGTCCTGGCGTGGAAAATATGTATATTCAATCGCTTTGAAGTTACATACTCAATTCACCTCAACCGCCTCGTGCAAATGGAGCTCCTGAGCCATCAGACTTTCCCACATCTCGTTCAGAGCATCCTCAAAGTGGGCCGTTAGGGTGTCCAACTGGGCCTGCAACTCCTCCAGATCGTCGTCCCGTTGATCCAGCTCCCTCCACTTCAGGCGCATCTCGTCGAAGGCTCGCTCCTTGTACTGCATAAACTCTTCGATTTGCTTTTGTCCCTGTGCCTGCAGCTCGTCCTGTCCCTCATGCAGGTTGGCATTGAAGTCCCGGATCTCCTCATCGCGTTCATCGAAGCGCTCCAAGCCTAGGTGGTAGATCTGCTGCGTGAGCTCGTACACATCCTTGGAATACTCCTCGCACAGCTCTTGAGCCGGAGCCCCCACCAACATCAGGATGCGCCCATTCCCATCGTCTCGCCACAGGGAATCGTACAGCTGCTGACCATCCAGATGCTCCACAAAACTGGAGGCCAGCCGATCCGCCTCGGCCATTTCCCGAGCCTCCGTTTCCAGGCCCTGAATCTCGCGCTCCTGCTTGTCCTCGATTTCGCGCAGCTCGCGGCTGTGGGTAAGTGAAAATGAATCTTTTCGTTTGGTAGAGACTTGGAAATGCGAACCACTCACTAAAAACGTTTTTGGGCCTCCTCCCGTGCCTCCGCCTTGATGAAAACGTATTCGTAGTAGTTCAGCTGGGGCAGGATGGCGGTCACATAGAGGGTCAATGGAAAATCTGGCTGCTTAGCTATGGGATTGCCCTCTAAGTTAAGAACTTTTAGGCTGCTCACAAAACGCAATCGTTCGATCTGGGAGAAAAGCAACACTTTAATTTATAAACTTGTGATTTTGACACATTTTATGAGTCATTGCAAATAGTAGTAGTGTTTCGAATTAGATATTTATATTATTATCGCAAGAGATGGGAAAAAAACCTTACGCCTTCTACCGTATCGATGAGATTGTTTCCAATGCTTAGGATAACAAGATTCTGCAAAGTATGTATGTTTTCGATTTTCCTGATGCGATTGCTGAACAGGGAGAGCTTTTCCAAGTTGACCAGTGCTTCCAGATTCTCAATCCGCGCGATGTAGTTAAAGCTGAGATTCAGATCCTTGAGGGCAGTTAGCATTTCGAGGTGCTCAATCACCTCGATTTTGTTGCAGTTCAAACAGAGCTTTGTGAGATTCGGCATCATCCAGAGATGGTCGATCCGAAGGATGTCTGAAAAAAGGTCATGTGGCTCATCTTACATTTTACTTAGTTAGTTTTTCAGTTACTCTTGAATTCCAGTCGCATGGTGGTAATGCGATCATAGACCACTGGTTCTAGTTGGTGGAGTCTTCTCGCCTCGCCCTTTTGGCCCTCCTCCAGATAGGCGGTTTCAATCATCCGACGATCTATGATGCCCGGTTCCGGGCAGTTGATCTCCTCCAGGAAGCCCCTCAGGGGCTCCTCCTCCGCCTCCTTCTCCTCCGCAGCACTCTCACCTGGCTGACTGCTGACCGGCTCGTCCATTTTCGCTGACTCTCACAGAACATATCCCTAATCCGCGTGGTCACGAAAATTGGGCTCGAACGAGCGAGGTTGCCATGGGCAACCCATAAAACATGGCCCTGCCCAGTTACCTTCGTTCGTGTTCCACCCCTAAAGGACTTCGGGATCTGGTGGAACCGGAGACCCAGTCAACCGGCTCGGGGACCTTCGGCTCTCTAGCTTTCTCTCCCGGATTCGGAGGGTGGTCTAGTTAGGGCTGCGGTTGTTTGGGCCGTCCCGTTGTTGTGGATATCAGGTCCGTCAGTTGTTAGTGCTTGCTTATTAAATAAACTTCTGTTCGCAGAGGATATCCGCATCGGGAGCAGCCATTTATCTCATTTGATTCGGACCAACACGTTGCATCTAGCGATTCCGGATTCAAATGCAATTACGTTTGAGGTACGAGAGATGGGTCAGCTCAAACACTTAAATCCCTCGGTGTGAATGCAGTGGAGAGGGAATTCCTTTTGTCAACCCCCAGTTCAATCGATAAAGTGACCCCGAACATTTAGCTTTGTTTATTTGCTTGTACGCGGTGCGAAAAGTCTCCTAGTCCCTTATCGGATATAGTGGTGCATATAGTAATCGGCTAATCGGGCGTCGGATGTGCGTGCCTAGAGTTTAAGTGAGTCAAATGTGAGTGGTTCAAGGCTGCGACTTAGGATCCAAGCAAAAGCCAGGTCGAAACGTGGCTCTAGTTGCCCCGAGACTTGCAACCACCAGGCCCCCTCCCGAAATCGCAAACCAAAACAATCCGTATACATATATACACCTAAATGGGATTCTGAAGGTGGTAACGCTACGTACGCTATGAATAAATTATCGCCCAAGGAACTAAATTCGCCAAATGACCACAAACCAATTACGACACATGACCGCTTTGAGAAAGCTAAAGCTAGCAGGTTGAAGAACTTAGTTTGTCAAGAACTGGTATATAAAAGTGGCAAGTCCAATCAAATGAATCCTAGTGGGATCCAAGCATTTTTAACAAGCTATTTAGGAAAATACGTAACTTATGATTTTCTTCCTATGCTCGGTTCTAAAAGTCTATTTAAAGAAGAAAACTGACTAAAAGCCCTTAAGGACTATTTCTTGGAGTATCTAGGACTAGGAGGTTTCTAGGAGTATCTTCCAGCGCAGGCCAAAATAAAAGGTGACTCAATCTTCACCTCGAGAAACTGTTTTCTTTTGTGTAAACTGTAATCCCTTCGTCGACTTGAATTTGAGTTTTGATTTGGAACCTAGATCAGCAAAGCAGAACTTGGATACTATCCTCTTGGTTCCCAATCGATTTCAATGCGCTCTATTTAACAAGAAATAACCGTCTCCTTCTATTTCCTGCCACTGATGACCCTGGTGGATAATTCGTATTTGGGTTAACTAAATTTGGTCAAGTTCTTGCCGGCCTCGGTGATCGATATATTGATTTTAATTACCCTAGCTCCGAAAAATGGAGACTCACGAAACGGCCCAGTTTGATTCGATTTGATGTTAAGTGCCAGTCATTTAATGCAACTGTGATTCCTCGAAGTCCACATTCGTGGGCGGAACTCATAAGTTATTGAAGACACTTCCATAAGTCGCGTGCTAATGGATGTTTGGACTCCCCCTTTCTTTTCCGTATAGTTGCACCCGGAGAATGTGTGAAGAGCTGCCCCCATCTGCCTAAGCATGAACCGCTATATCACGCTGACCCAACTGGGCGATGGAACCTACGGCACCGTCGTCCTGGGCCAGCGCAAGGACACCGGCGAGAAGGTGGCCATCAAGCGCATGAAGCGCAAGTACTACTCCTGGGAAGAGGCCATGAATCTGCGCGAGGTTAAGGTATGCTTAACGCTCGACCTCAGCTCCTTGAATTGGTGCATCTTGCGTAACTACTGCTCTGCTCTTTTCTCCTTAGTCGCTGAAAAAGTTGTCCCATCCGAACATAGTTAAGCTCAAGGAGGTGATACGCGAGAACGATACCCTGTACTTTGTGTTTGAGTACATGAAGGAAAACCTCTATCAGATGATAAAAGACAGAGATACTCATCTACCCGAACCGGAACTCAAGAGTATTCTCTTCCAGGTGAGCAAAAGATGTGCACGAAGTATAGCCCCTGATTACATTATGATAACAACTATATTTTGTCCAGGTCCTAACTGGTCTGGCCTTCATGCACCGACATGGATTTTTCCACCGCGACCTGAAACCGGAGAACTTGCTCTGCTCCGGCCCAGATCTCATCAAGATAGCTGACTTTGGCCTGGCCAGGGAGATCCGATCAAGGCCTCCGTTTACGGACTACGTATCGACGCGTTGGTACCGTGCACCAGAGGTACTCCTGCACTCCACCAACTACGGCAGTACCATCGACCTCTGGGCCATGGGCTGCATTATGGCCGAGCTCTACACCTTTCGTCCGCTCTTCCCAGGAAGTAGTGAGGTGGATCAGCTCTTCAAGATCTGCTCCGTGCTGGGCACTCCAGAGAAGGTAAAACCGCTTTCTCTTTCTAAATCATCAGAAAAATTAGACTAGAGCATTTGTGTTCTTTTCGTTCCCAGGACGATTGGCCGGATGGATATCGCCTGGCGAGCATGATCCACTTCCGCTACCCGGACTGCATCAAAGTGCCACTGAGCAGCGTCGTCAGTCGCTGCAGCCAAAATGGATTGGATCTGCTGGAGGACATGCTGGCCTACGATCCCGACAAGCGTCCGACGGCGCAGCAGAGTCTGAAGTATCCATACTTTCACGCCCTCAAGCGGATATCGCCCACGGCGGCCACCAAGGCAAATGTACGGCTGAACTCCAAGTATGCGGCCTCCAATGGGCATCCGGTTCAGACTGTCTCCAACAACGTGCTTCCGGTGCAGGAGAAGCTGCAGGCGGTCACCGAGTTGCTGCACCAGAGCAACAACAACATGAATAGCCACTCCAATCTGGGCAAGAACAACAATCTGGCGGCCAAGAATGGCGGAGTGCCCAGAAAGTACCCACCGAAGTTGAGCTTCCTGACCGGCAGTGAGATGGGTGCGGGTTCACATGCGGATTCCTCCAGTCTGGGTGGAGCCACAGTGGACGGAGTCCCGGTGCCACAGCTCCAGAACGGAGGAGAGTCCATCAACGACATCTACCTGAACCGCAACATCTCTCAGCTCTTCGGATTGCCAGCGGGTCCGCAGCACCAACAGCAGCAGGTGCACCACCCAAATGTCTCCTTCAGCACCACCTCGTCACGGAATGCAGGTGCCATCTATGTGAATGGCAGCCACCTCAGCTACGACACGGCCAACATGAATGCCAAGAACAATGCCAAGTTTGTGGTGGGCGCTTCCAATGGTGGTTACTACGTGCCCGTGGCCAGACCATCTCTCCTGGGCCCCGACGCCAAGGTCTACAACGTGTTCTCCAAGGTCAGTGCCAGCCAGGCTCCTCCGAGCCTCATTGTGCGCCAGCCGCAACTGCAGCCGGAGTTGGCTCCTCCGCCCATGAGACTCTCGGGAAGATCGCGAGCGGCGGCGCCGGACCCAAAGATGGGTGCTCTCAAGTCTGACGATCTGGACCTGATACTGGGGTAAGTTTGCACAACAGAGTATTTGCCATTCGCATCTTATTTTTAAAAAGCCTATTTATCAAATTCATTTCAAGAAGGGAGAATATTTCAAGATTCTGTTGGCATAAGCACAATGCTGAAAATGATCAATGTTTATCGTTGTTAAACTTAATTTAGTTAAGAAATTTTCTAAGAATTTTAAGGACAACAATTGATGGGATGCATTAGTACATGTTAGATATCTTTGAGTGTGGGCACTCCTGGCACCACAATATGTTTTGTTCTGGCACACCACCCAGTTGATCCTGCGCCACCTCACCGTGTGTCTCTCCGTATCTCCCCCGTGCAGTTCCAAGCTGAAAACCTCCGCCAAGCGGCAGCGCAACGCCAAGGCCAACATCCTGCTGGAGGACCTGTTCGGGCAGCTGTCCATGGACTCGGACAGCGACGGCAAGTATCCGCACACGGTGCCGCCCACGCAGCAGGCGAAGAGCGGGAAGACGTCGACCGGCGGTCGTGGCCCCGGACCCCGGGAGCGGGATCTCTTCGGGGAGAGCTTCCTGCCCAGGCCGGTATTGCGGAAGAAGGCCACCCAGAGCAGTCTGGAGGTGAACAACGGCAGCCACGCGGACTCGCTGTAAGTGGGGGCATGTCCTTGGACATTCCCGCTGGCCTGCATGCCCTGTAATCATTGACCCGTGCTTCACTGCATCCTCATGATCATGATCCCTGCATCCTGCCTATCTCTCTCTCTACATTGTACTCTGTCTCTCTCCTCTCTCTCCCCCTCTCTCTCTCGCTCTCTCTTGCTGTCTCTGTCATCGTTTTGTGTGTGTTTTCGTTTGCTTGTCATTGAACATTGAACACTTTGTGTGGGTGGCCCAAGTGATAACTCCTCCTCGTCCTCCCCCTCAATTGATGAAGAATGTCGCTTTTGGCCCATAAGGTAAAAACCAACATTCGCCATTGAGCTGTAGCTGTAAATACATACGTAGCAGAAGCAGTAGAGACTCTTAGTGCACCACCATATCATATCCATATCATCATCGCACATGGGGGAATTATTTGCTGATCGCTCCTGAGCTTTCAGCTACGATTTCCCCTCTTGTTGTCGAGCACTTTTCATTTGCCTGTTGTTTGAAATAAGTAATGCATTTATAGGTAACAATATTTCTTTCATATCTGCAACAAACAGACTTCTACTAGCTGAAACACCATTAGTCGTAGGAAACTGGTTTCTTAAACAATTATAGTTTAAATTAAATGTAGTTGTCTTGGGCCCTTAGCAAGATACATTTGGTACTAGGAAATGCAATAATACTAATAGCATACATTAACTTTCAGAGCTCCAATCGCACAAAAGGAAAAGCCCGCTGTGGCGTCCAGTTTCCCCTGGGATGAGTCCAACAAGACGGAGGACGAGAAGCTAACGGCTTGGATGGTGGCCGAGAATGGTAACTTGATTTTGGGTAGTCATCAGCAAGCGTAGAAGTCGAGAGCACTCCCAATCCAATCCACAATATGTAGTTACTTAGCGTTCACCAAATAGGAGCTTTCAAATGGTAGTGCTAACTTGAAGAGCACATCTAGAGAGTTATGGATAATTACAGATCCAGTATCAAACTATCCTCTTCCCAGGATCGCTGCTGGAGAACAAATTCTGAGAAGATCGACTTGCAGGATGCCGTTGTACCTGAAACAGAATGGAACTACTTTAAGTGCCTGTTGATCTGCGTAAACCCGAACTGAATCTAAATCCATATCACCATCATCGAATCGGCGTAACGAGTTAGTCTAGTTTCGATATAATGTTATTGCTGTGATACAACTAAGCTAAACTATTGTGTAAAGTAGCCTACGGTCTTGAGTCTCGCGTGTAAGTTGTACTTTAAGCTACTATACGATAATATAATCCGAGTGAGTTTTGAATCGATTGCAAGCGCTGGTGGCAAGTGCAGGGATTTGGTTTCATTTCCCCCATGGGCGAGCTATATGGGTTGCATAAGGCATGGGATTGGAGCGGGGTATTCGATTTCAACTCCCATAAGTTGGCCACTGCGACAATGGGCCAAGACTCGTCTTATAAAAGAGGTCTGAGCCAAGCCCTTAGTCATCAGTCGAGTGCACTCCATCGCTGCAGTTACAACTTCAACTTGTTCGCCATGAATGTCCTGGTAAGTCAGGACACCGTCTATCATTGCATACATATCACCATTTATGGCTTAGAGTCCCAGCATTGCCGTCTGCCTGATCCTGAGCGCCCTCGTCGCTGTTCAGGCAGGGATCATCGCCAGCCATCCGGATGAGCTGATTGCTAGTCCTGCCCAGTATGAGTTCCACTACTCCGTCCACGACAGCCACACCGGCGATGTTAAGGATCAGTTCGAGCACCGACGTGGCGAATACGTAACTGGCCGCTACTCCCTCGTGGATGCCGATGGACTCCGACGCATTGTGGACTACACCGCCGATCCTCTGCTGGGCTTCAACGCTCAAGTTCGTAGGGAACCGATTTCTCGCTATTGAAACAGCTACCCACGGGATGTGATGAAGGACCTCCCCAGTTGACCGGATTTATGATTTGGCTACCTTAATTATGGGCACCAATGGAAGATGATAAAATTGTATTTTTAGAATAAATCTAAAGGCTGTTTAATTAATCTTCAAGTGGGCTTCGAGTCTAACCACATTTAATAATTACAGAAATATTAAAGGATTTCAGTAATTAGATAGCGAGTTATAGACCTAGACTCTTATATAACGTTTTTAGATATTTATTAAACCCACTTAGTAGCATTGTAAAAGGTATTATGGGTACTCTAGATCACAATCCAATTTTATGTATGAATACCTTATTCTCGTAAAGGATCTGTTCCTTTTCCACTTTTGAATCCCTTATTGCATTAATTGAAAATCCGTATATATTTGTGTTTTCTAAACATGCATTTATTGCCTTCTATTTACACATAGTATTACATACATAGATGAGATAGATGCCCCAGTCACCGGGTTATGGCGCTTCGATGACCGGGTGCCGAAGAGTCTTAGTAGAGATTTCAGATCAGAGATTTAGGATCAGAAGATAGGAAGGAAGTTCAGAGGAAGCTGGATATGATACGAGGTGTTTGGGTAGTAATGGTAATAGTAATAGTAATAGTTCAGATACAGATGCGTATGCGTATGCGGATGCGGATGGGTCGTCGTCGATGCGATGAAGTCAGTGTTTGCTATCTCTCTCGATCAATCCTGCCCAGAACTTAGTGGTAAAGGCCGAGGGGCAGTTTGGCGGGTGCGAGGAGCTTGGGTGCCGCGTACGCCAGGGGCAGTGGAGCGGGAGCCAGGAGCTTGGCAATGGGCGCGGCCTTGATCACCTTCTGGCCCAGAGGATCGCGGCGCACCACCGCATTGAAGCCGTTGTGGGCATCCGAAGTGTAGTCCACGGTGCGCAGGTATCCATCGGCGTCGATCAGCGTGTACTGACCCTGGACCAGATCGCCCTTACGGGACTCCGTCTGGCTCTTAATGTCGCCGGTGTGCTCGTCGTGCACCGAGTAGGCAAAGTCGTACTGGGCAGGCGCCTCCACCTCCACGGTCTTCAGCAGTGGCTTCACGATGGCCGCGGGCGAGTGGTAAATGGGCAGCTCGATGGCGGCGGCGGCTCCAACACCCAGGATGAAAAGCGAGACGAGCTGTAAGAATTATTACAATTATTATATTATTAAAATTGATTTAAAGTTGATGTTCTTTTATATGCACTTATCCTTTGCACTTACAGCGAACATTTTGGCTTGGACTTGGATTTGGTGGATTTGCTGACTTGGTGGCTGCTGTGGCTCCTGCACTGAACTATGTCTCCAAGTGTCGAGATCGCAACTTTTATAGTCAATGCACTGCTCTCAGGCCCAGCCACAGCCACGGCTCCACCACCTCCATCCCCATCCCGATCTTTTGATGGGTGCCACGCTCCAAGCACACGCACCACGCACCACATACCACACACTCGATAACCCACACCGAGCACCACACACTCCCCAAAAACACCTCACCCAGCGAACCGGAATCCGACTAATGCAAAATTGTTATTATACTTCTATTTCATTTTTTTGGCAATGTTCGGCTGCGGTAATAAAAAATTTACCCTGCTCCACTTCGGGCAACAATGTAGCCACGGTAAGCTCTTGTCTCTAGATTGTCAATCGGTTCCTATGGACCAGCCACTATTCAAAGCCAAGTGAAAGTTAAGGGATTTCAATTTATTTAAATTGAGTGAGAAAACTGTTTATTTTTATTGATAGGTTGTCATTAGTTACTTAAATGATAAAATTTGATTTAAAAATTAATGTTCTTTGATTTTATGGGATTATTTTGGTTAACTAGTTTCACTTTTCATTGAGTGATATTTGTAGCAATGGTATTCGATATGCTATATTTTTATTATGTATATAATTAAGTGTATACCCGTTACTCGTAGAGTAAAAGGGTATACTAAATTCCTTGAAAAGTATATAATGGGCAGAAAGAACCGTTTCCGACCATATAAACTATTGATCAGTATTGATCAGGAACAATAGCCGAGTCGATCTGGCCATATTCGTCTGTCCGAATGAAAGCCTCGATCTCAGTGTCCCAAGGCTGAAGTTCTAAATTCCATAACTCCACTTATCTTAATCGGATTTTGAAGTGGCATACCTCTTAATGTTTCTGGCGTAATTCTCTAAAAAAATGCATTTAAATTTAGGAATTCATAATATTTTAATTTTTTTGTAAATTTTTTCATGTTATGATGTACAAATTCAAAAACAATATGAAATGTCCCAAGGCAGAAGTTCCAAACTCCATAACTCAACTTATCCTAAACGGATTTTGAAGTGGCATACCTCTAAATGTTTTTGGCGTAATTCTCTAAAAAACTGCATTTAAATTTAGAAATTCATAATATTTTAATTTTTTTGTAAATTTTTTCATGTTATGATGTAGAAATTCAAAAACAATATGATATGTCCCAAGGCAGAAGTTCCAAACTCCATAACTCAACTTATCCTAATCGGATTTTGAAGTGGCATACCTCTAAATGTTTCTGGCGTAATTCTCTAAAAAACTGCATTTAAATTTAGAAATTCATAATTTTTTAATTTTTTTTGTATTTTTTTTGGTTATTTTGTATTTATTTAGTGGTTATTGACAACGGCTCTGGAGTATGCAAAGCCGGATTCTCCCCAGAACACACTCCCCGCGTGGTCTTCCCATCGATTGTGGGCAGACCTCGTCACCTGAACGTCCTGCTAGACTCCTTGATCGATGACAGTGTTATTGGCGAGGCGGCTGCCCGCAAAAGGGGAATACTAACGCTCAAGTATCCCATTGAGCACGGCATGGTCAAGAACTGGGATGAAATGGAGATGGTCTGGAGCGTACGAGCTGCTACGTGCGGACCCAATGGATTTGCCCGCTCTACTAACCGAAGCCCCTTTGAATCCGAGGAAGAATAGGGAGAAGATTACGGAGATTATGCTCGAATACTTTCAGGCCAGCTTTTTATGTGGCAGTTTAGGCTGTGCTCTCACTTTACGCCACCGGACGCACTGTGGGCATTGTGGTGGACTCGGGTGATGGTGTGACCCACACGGTTCCGATCTACGAAGGATTTGCCCTGCCCCACGATCTGGCTGGCAGGAACCTTACCGATTACCTGTGCAAGCTGCTTCTGGAGAGGGGTGTTACAATGAGCCCCTCTGCTGAACGGGAAATCGTGCGGGACATCAAGGATAACTAAGATGAACTAAAATGAATCCTCAAGATGAACTAACACCCAGATGAAGTAACCCCCAGATATCATATACTTCATATAAAATAACCTCCAGGTAAACTAACACCTTGATAAACTAACCCCCGAGTAAAATGGCCCCTAGATAAACTAGCCCCAGGTAAAATAACTTCTAGATAGACTAACCCCCCAGAAATACTAATCCCCAAATAAACGAACCCATATGTTAAAATAACCTCCAGAAAAACTAAGCTTCACGTAAAAGAACTTCCAGATAAACTAACGCCCATATAAACTTACGTCCAGTTAAATTAATCCCCAGGTAAAATAACCTCAAGATGAACTAACCCCCAGATGAAGTAACCCAACGATATCACATTCTCCATATAACATAACCCCCAGGTGAACTAACCCCCAGGTAAAATAACACCCAGATAAACTAATCCCCAGATAAACTAACCTCCAGATAAAATAACCTCCAGATAAACTAACCCCCAGATAAACTAACCTACAGGTAAACTAACCCCCAGATAAACTAACCTCCAGATAAACTAACCCCCAAATAAACTAACCCCCAGATAAACTAACCCCTAGGTAAACTAACCTCCAGGTAAACTAACCCCCAGGTAAACTAACCCCCAGATAAACTAACCCCTAGGTAAACTAACCTCCAGGTAAACTAACCTCCAGATAAACTAACCTCCAGGTAAACTAACCCCCAGGTAAACTAACCGCCAGATAAACTAACCCCCAGATAAACTAACCCCCAGATAAATTAACCCCCAGATAAACTAACCCCCAGATTAACTAACCCCTAGGTAAACTAACCTCCAGATAAACTGACCCCTAGGTAAACTAACCTCCAGGTAAACTAACCTCCAGGTAAACTAACTCCCAGATAAACTAACCTCCAGGTAAATTAACCCCCAGGTAACATAACCTCTAGATAGACAGAAATACTATGTTAAAATTACCTCCAATAACTTCCAGATAAACTTACGTCCAGTTAAACTAATCCCCAGATAAAATAACCTCAAGATGTTCCGATCTACGAAGGATTTGCCCTGCCCCACGATCTGGCTGGCAGGAACCTTACCGATTACCTGTGCAAGCTGCTTCTGGAGAGGGGTGTTACAATGAGCCCCTCTGCTGAACGGGAAATCGTGCGGGACATCAAGGATAACTAAGATGAACTAAGATGAATCCTCAAGATGAACTAACACCCAGATGAAGTAACCCCCAGATATCATATACTTCATATAAAATAACCTCCAGGTAAACTAACACCTTGATAAACTAACCCCCGAGTAAAATGGCCCCTAGATAAACTAGCCCCAGGTAAAATAACTTCTAGATAGACTAACCCCCCAGAAATACTAATCCCCAAATAAACGAACCCATATGTTAAAATAACCTCCAGAAAAACTAAGCTTCACGTAAAAGAACTTCCAGATAAACTAACGCCCATATAAACTTACGTCCAGTTAAATTAATCCCCAGGTAAAATAACCTCAAGATGAACTAACCCCCAGATGAAGTAACCCAACGATATCACATTCTCCATATAACATAACCCCCAGGTGAACTAACCCCCAGGTAAAATAACACCCAGATAAACTAATCCCCAGATAAACTAACCTCCAGATAAAATAACCTCCAGATAAACTAACCCCCAGATAAACTAACCTACAGGTAAACTAACCCCCAGATAAACTAACCTCCAGATAAACTAACCCCCAAATAAACTAACCCCCAGATAAACTAACCCCCAAATAAACTAACCCCCAGATAAACTAACCCCTAGGTAAACTAACCTCCAGGTAAACTAACCCCCAGGTAAACTAACCCCCAGATAAACTAACCCCTAGGTAACCTAACCTCCAGGTAAACTAAC